AATTCATATTTATTTCCTAATTTTTTATGGTGGTTGCGAGGTCAGGAAATCTACTGAACCTGTACAGAGATTAATTACTGAAAATAACAGATAAAATATAAAGTTTTTTTTTAAGAAATGTTTGATAACTATCTCTACATTATACAAATTTCACATGTGAAATTTAAAAATTGTTTGATTCATAAATATATTTTTAATCTTAAAATGAATATTACTTTGCACCATAGATAGGCAACATGCATAATGAAAAAATAGACATGAGAAAAACATTGCTTTATAAACCTTAAGACTCAATCAAAAATTTGACATTTTGCATATGAAAGCATTGTAATGTTTGCTGATAATCTGCCAAATTTCATTAATATTTGCTTATTAATTTAAAAGTTATAGCATGAAAACTATAACAAGTACAAAATGGTTATGAAGTTGGTCCTAAGGACCGAGCCGATACTGAAAAAGTTAAGGGAATATGTGATCATGTCTCACTTACAAGTGAAACACTGTACATAAGAAATATATAATCTTCACACAAAAAAGATGTTTCAAGAACGTTGAATAATTGTGTGTGTGCCTCTAAAATGGAAATTATATAAAAGGTACATCATTAAACATGCTTTTACATTATATGCATAGCAATCTAAAATATATTATTTTTTTACAAGCTACAGATTTTAGAGTAAGGAAGATATTTTTTTAAAATAGGTATGACTTTTCAATCACTGGTGCGATCATTCTGAAGTATACAAGTGTCAATGGTAAAGAGGGTTTAGGTATTTAAATCAACATTCAACAATCTAACAGTGTATTTAAATTTCAGAATTGATAATGGTTACTTACACTTGCGAATATCAATTCACAGGAATTGACTGATTATTTACTTATGGCTGAACAGAAAACAAACAAACAAATAGTGTATAAATAGGAATATGTGGAAGATTAGGATTAAAGAAATAATGATCAAAGACATATAGAAATGTGCCTGGGTATTTGTTAATTGTGGGATTGTTTGATTGTATTAACCCTATCGCCATGGGTGTCCTTTACATTCAAAATTTTATTAAAATACTTTTTGTTTATGGTATACCAATTAGTATAGCATCAAATCTTAGTTGATAATCCATATTTTAATAGTATGTAAGTTTAAGTTCTTAATTCTGTAAGGCAATATTTAAAAAAATCCTGAATTTCCCATAGTGTGAAACACGTGACACATTTCCTTTAGGTATCTTTTCTTCTCTAGTTTTGATAAAAGAGTTAGCACAAAGGATCACATATAAAGTGTAATAGACTTAAAATAAGACCCAAAACTCGAACACTTTCGAATAGTTTACTATTCTTTGTTCTCCTGTTTTGGGTCTTATTTCAAGTCTGTTTTCTTCTCTAGTTTATCCACCACCCCTCCAATTTATGACAAAATCAAACATAAATTACTCACTATAAAAATCTTCATTGTTCAATCTTCAGACAAGCCATAATTTTTATAGCCTTAAATTTTGTTTGGTTACAGAGCTATCAAATAGAAAATTATACCTTC